TGGGGGGGGGGTACTTTTTCTGCGCCTCCGCCTGGCGGAGAATTTTCCTTGAATTGGGACACTGCACCCTTTGAAAGAAAACTGAGGGTAATAATATAGTGCAGGCTGGATGGTAACTAATGAAACCCGTGGTCAAACTTGCGGTCGTACAATTGTAGACAAGTTGTCTGGAGGAGTGGGAGAACTACTTGGAAACTGCAGGCATGGACCACAGAGAAATATTTATAAGGTTACAAATCTACCAAGAATGGGAACTTTATCAACGGTCTTAAAAAGAAATTGGACGGACATTCGAACAAGGAGCAGCCGGGTAAATTAAAAAGTGACAAATTCTGGGCTTACACTTATTATGTGAGAGCACCTACATAGGCAGATTTTCTTTTTGCTGGTTTTCATTTTTTTCGATAAAATATGACTGAAATTAATCCCAATTAATGAATCGATGAGATAAAAACAATGAAAACTCAACACCAAAGAGCGAATAGCGTGTACTTTGCAAGAAAGGTGAAAGAAAACAGTAAAGGCGCCCTTTACAAACACCATGAAGTAAAGGGCAACAGCACACGACGAGTCGCGTCGTGCTTCACGCTACGCGATGCACAACACGACGCACGACGCGACGCACGACAGCACGACGCGACGGGCGACGGAAGGGGCAACGTTTAGGCAGAAAAATTGCAACAAGGAAAGGGCCTAAGGCAGCACGACGCGACGGGCGACGGCACGACGCGACGCACGACGCAACGCGTCGTGTGTGGACAAACAAAATGGCAAGAAGGCGACGGTTCGACCCAACGGCACGACGCAAGAGAGCCGTCGTGCCGTCGCGTCGTCTGGTTGCGTCGCCTGGAGGGAGGCAAGAGAGAGAGAAATGTTTGTCGTAAATAGTACACCATACATTAGTATGGAATTCCATATCTGCCGTCGTCCGTCGCATTTTGCTTTTTGTTGTGTCCCGGTTCTGCCATTTACCAGTTCCAAACATGCCATTTTCCGTCGTGCGTCGCCCGTCGTGGGTCGTGCGTCGCCCATCAAATGGGTTGCATGGGACCTGCAAAAGCCAGGGTTTAACAAATGACAATGTGATGATTCCATTCCCTTCTAAGGATCTTTTCCGAATAAGGCAAGTACAAATCCCACCTGCAAAGCATATACTAGTCCCATAATTAATTCCAATAATGCTAGACTACCCGGCCCTGCCCCTTGACAAGAAAATATCGCCTCTCTGAGAATTCAACCAAGTGTTTTTTGGGGAAAAACATTTTCAGTAAAAATGTTCCGGCCAACTTATCCACAGTGTTATTCTAATTTGCATACTGTAAAAATGTGCCGACTTGTTTTCATCAAATTCCAGAAAGAAATCTGCCAACCGATACAGATATTCCATCTTGTCCTCTCAATTTCACCTCAGCAGCAGCTCTAAAGGTTACATGTGATGATTTTGCAGATATTCTTCCGTCTGATTTTGAATGTTCTACAACCACACACATGGATTCAAAATGTCTGCGCCCTTAGGGTTCAAATTTTCTCCATGTGGCCGCCGAGAATGAGAAGACATAGTTTTGAAACAAAAATCGTTTCACAAATTTATAAAAGCTCTAAGCCTCTGTACATGTACATGTACATGTATGTGTATGTGTACGTACCGGTCGTCCGTGGCCGTCGACGTACGATGTGGGCGTGTGTTTCAGACTGAGTGCTGATTGGTCAATTTCTGTGTGGATCCGGCCGTATGACGCGTGTCGGAAACATGTGGACATACAATGTTCACTGCATGCGCACGGCATAGTGAATCATCAAAGACAATCCTCAGTGGAAAGCCTGCACAGATCTGTCATGTTTGTTGTGAATTCTCAAATTCTCTCAGTCGACAGACTGTATTTTTAACAGGAGTAGAGAAGTGTGAGTATTCTTTCCATATCCTGGCAGTGTAAGAAACTGGGGCAGCTTACAAATTAAGTTAAATTCTTATCCACCAGAGACCGGTTTTCATGGTTTTCGACAATTTAGGTACCGCAGGCTAACATTCGTTAGGCCTAGGCCTACTTCATAATCACTGAATCATAGGCTACAAAGTTATACCAGGCAAGATATGGGACGGTGGGGTACCCCCCTTACATGTCAAATCCATATACACACTTTAGACTATTGTTACCGTCATCCCTCCAGAAGTCCGATCAAACAATGACCAACAGTCACAAAGGCGGGGGGTTATCTCCGTGATTTCGAGTCAACTCAGACCCAAACCAACTCGGACCCATGCCAACTCGGACCCATGCCAACACGGACCCAACACCAACTCGGACCCATGCCAACTCGGACCCAATACTAACCCGGACCCACGACCAACTCGGACCCAATACTAACTCGCACCTACGACCAACTCGGACCCATCCTGAGTCAACTCGGACCCAACCCCAGGAGCGTGATAAACTTGTTGAAAATTTTGATTTTGTCCACTTTTACAATTTAGCATTTGGTAAATGACACTTTTTCACTGCATGCTGCCGAGATGTAACAACCGCTCTACACGTAATGCAGGGAAACAGTGGCACAGGGATTCCCAGAATTTCTCAGTTTTCGAGTTTGAACAAGCATGGTGGTTGAAAACCGTACGGGACTAGATTTGATATCAGTGATGTTTTGGAACAAGTGAGAAGTAACCGACGTGCGTCGTATTTTTATGGAGGCACATTTCCTTTGATGTCCTATTTGCTGCTTGTAATCTTGAATCTTAATCGGTTATTAGCTTCCGAGGTACCCGAGTTCCGATTTTGTCACCTTCCATTCTTGAAACCTTATGGTCGGGGAGTGGGAGCTTGGGACAACCAATGGGAGCAGCTTTTGGAGTGACAGTACCACATCATTGACGCCCTTTCTCCAAAGTTTTTTTGGCACTCCACATCACCAGAACAAATCGAATGAACTTTCACCAAACAGCCCTCAAAGGTTGTGTTGCAATAAAAAGCCACAGATAGACCCTTCTGCTGTACATAAGAGATGCTGCATGCGTACAACATATACTGCAGATATACATGTACATCAATATCACGAACATTAACCTTTTATATTGTTGATGGCTCGCGCTGTGCAGCTGAAAAAGGTGAGTCGAAATTTACACAAGATCCCATTTTTTAAAAATTCATTGGAATTCTTATTTATGAACCAAGTTTTCTAAATTGAAGAATTTTTCATTAGAAAATAAGCTCTTTGCAATGGTTCTGGCTGAAAATAGATTTGCAGTTGGCGTGGTTACTTATTGGAAACAGATCCAGAACGTGTGTCACCACTTCTGTCGATCCCGTACGTCCGAATTAAAAGTTTAAAATTTGAAACTGATTTAGTGGTAACCGTGGTATCTTTATCACACAAGGTGGACATTGACCACATTTCACTGGAATTTGAGGATTTTTGTAGAGCTGCAATCTGACTGAATAATTTCGCTATCTTGAACTGGGAAACGACTGTATTATGTGAAGAGATCTCACTGGTCGAGTTGTCTTTCTGTCAAAGTCGAGTTGTCCTAACAGACGACCTGGCAAACGGTCGAATTATCTCAATGGTAGAGTTGTCCTACATGTAAGTCGAGTTGGCAAACGGTCGAGTTGTCTGACATCCAAGACAAGATACATGTATGCAGGAGAGACCTAACCCCAGAACTGTGGGGTATGATGTCTTCCCGAGGACCGAGACCCACGACCCACAAAAAGCATGGCTTGTCGAGTGCAGGTCCCCAAACTACAGTACAAATAAAGAACAATCAACAAGACACATGTACAGTACATGGACATATGAACAACAAATGATCATCTACAGTGACGAGATATTGATAACATAAATTAAAGGTAAATATTACAGAATTTAACTTAATTTGTACAAGCTACATGTATGCAGGCCAAGGGAGGGCTCCCAGTGTACAAATTAATGTCATTAAGGGAAATAACATTAAATGAATAAAAGCAGTAGAGAATGACATGCTGAGACAGTCACTGATAATAAGGAAATGGACTGAATGGAAACAAAATATCAGTTTGATTAGAGGGATTTGTTAAAAAGAATTTAACCACTTCATGCCAGGGCATTTTTCGATGTTGATTATGCTGGGCTGGCATGACTATCATTTTATTCGTTTTCAAATCATTCAAAAATTCATCATTTCATTTAACGGTCATTTATAGCCGCACGAAGTAATCTTTAGGCACTACTCTAAGTTGACAGGTTACCTTCATTGGTGCCCGAGTATTTCAGCCAGGCCTGCAGCATTGTAAACAGAGCCCAGATTGTGCGGTGTGCACTGTTATATAACTTTCTTTTGTTCACGAACCTGGCTCAGTGCACTGCTGACCTCTTTTCAGTAGGGGCCAGATTAGTGTGCAGCAGTGCTGTGTGGCTCATCGCTGCGGTGGAGTGCTTTTGTCCCTGGTGGTAATCCACTCGCTCTCAATGCCCCAAACCCTGGTATACGGTTTCAAAACAAGGCTGGATTATCACCACATTTGAGAGTGAAAAATGTCAGTAATGCCCAGCACCCTGGTCTTTTGTTTGGAGTACGGTCTTTTGTTACAGGGCCCTGTTTCCTTTGTCTTGAGTTCGGAGACCCCGGCCAAGCATATAAACCATACGTCTCCGATTCCGGAGTCCCCGGCAGGAAGTGGTTAAAATGTAGCATTGATCTACATTTTGTTCAGAACTCATAAATGAAGATGCTATTCAACATGTTTAAAGGGATATCATGAAAGAAATGGCAGTACAGACCCAAGAAATGCATGCTTAAGCAACAGAAGCGCATGCATGCCAGAGTGTGTTATTGTACCTAGACCCAAGATCATGATATTGATTACTTTCTGTCATTTCCTTCCTTCGAGCTGCAAGCATATAAGATGTGAGCTATGCTTGTGTAGTGTACTTGTATTTAGTCAACAAGGATTGAATGGGAGTGTAAAATATGGCATTCTAGTGCCAAGGGGAAAGCATACACAAATAACCATACAGTGTCATACATAAATAATGAACGTTTTTGAGTGTGGTAACATTTACATGAATTGGCAGATGGAGTATGTTCATGAATTGCTGTATCAAACATGCTGCACAAACGTCTGAGTCCCAGTAATTGGGATGTTGTCTTTTTTTATGAATGTGATTTCTGGATGTAATCTAACATGGCAAAGCCCTAATTTTTGCTGCTATAGCAATGTTTCCCTCAAGTG